GCACCTCTTCGGGCTTCAAGCCATAGTCTGCGGCCCAATCCGCCACCACTGGCAGAAGCGAAGCCTCGACGCCCGAGGGACCGGGGACTGAGGGTCCGACGGCCGGCGAGCTGGCCGAACATACGGGGGGCCGCCCAATCACGGGTGGGCGGAAGGAAAGCCATGGCGATGCTGCGTCATGGATCACGTCACAAACAACTCTCACAAAAGAAATCAAGAACATTGGTTAGTATATGCAGTATGCAGCATGCAATATGCAACATTAACCTGCAACATTGGTAAGAATTGTAAACCAAGGCGGCTAGAACAATGCCTTGACCTTTCGCGTGTTCTGGGCGGCTTCAACCCCCACCAAGCCCTGAGTGGCTTTCTTCAGAGGAAAGCAGAAGCCTCGATAAGGTGGGTTGTAATTCAACATGTGCTTCATCTCCCTGCGTCACACCTGTTATATGTATGTATACAATATGCATATGACTTTGAACCCGTATATTATAATGGTTGTAATGGTAAGCGCTTTGGTATACCTAATAGCCGTATGTATAAATAAGACAGTAACTAGTAGTTTTCCTAGGCCTCCAGTAGAACCCACAAAATTTGACGACCCTATATACAAAAACTGCACCACTGGCAGGCAGGATCCAAATATGTCTCAAGAAGCGAATCCAACTAATTCGATAGAAATACGGACGTTCAAAATGCGATCTTCTTGTAGATCCATTCTAATCCAATTTCAACTCGCCGAAATCATCAATGGATGTGGATTAGGTATGAAAAATAGTCCCTTCATGCCCCTTGAATGACCATGTTCCACCATTTTCCTCGACTTTGGGGCTCTCGCAGCTCCTTTGACTCCGCTCGCCTTGAACTTCTCCCAGGCCGCCCCCCCGGAGGCCTCCGGTGTCCATCAGACCGGACGGAAAACCGTGCACCAGAAACCCACCAAGCTTCAGAACCTGGGAAGTGCTACTTCAGGTGGTAACAACCTCCGTGTGAAACGAAGGAAGCCAATCAAGGTTTGACCAAGTCTTCAGTCCTCTTCATCCGAACTGACCCCCAGATGCCGGAGGATGGTTCTTTGTTGGAATATCCAGGCTCGAACGAACTCCACCGGTTCATGTTTTGGAAGCCAAAATGCCCAACACTTGGTGAAAAAAAGGCACCAAACAAGAAACACTTCCCCTTATTCCCGTACACAGTCCCAGTTGCAATATGAAACCCATGCGAAAAGAGGAAATACAACACACCTAATTATACATACAGGACCTAGAGGACCTAGATACAGTAACTTTGTATGTGAAGTATGTATATATATATATATGTAGTAGAACTTGCCCCAGCATCTACCACACCAAAGCTGCAAAAAAAACACAGTTACTGCCTGCTACTGCGCCGGTTTCCGCAGGAGTGATTTGAATCGGGGAACATGTGGTCCCGGTTCATTGGCCTGGTGAGTTGGTGTTAGACCTCCGTTCCCCTAATTGAGCATGGTTCCAGCCTGCTTTGGCTGCTGCAGCCTGGTCCGATGGCCAGGGTGTGGTCGGACTCGGATTCATGTCCCCAATCTCCCACAGCTGTGTCATTGTGAAGGAGGCAAGATAGGGTCGGTCTCCCTATTTGAAGCTACACACCGGGTTTTGAGATGTGCACTCAGTTTTTTCACCCCACGCAGCGGCACAGGAAGAAAAGAAACCCATGACAAACCAGGAGGAATTCTCTTGGATCAACACCCTGATGACGGGTTGGTTGATGGTGGTTGTGTCAGATTCAGGGAAGTGCCCACAGTTTTTTCCCTTTAGTGGGCGGCTGATGGGAAAACGACTGGACTTCAACGTCTCAGATCAACCAGATCACACATCTCAATCCACATGATTTCAACAACTTCAACCTCAACTTGTAGGACTTCCATGGAAAACGGCTTCCTTTCTCAACTGAACTTCTAGACTGTTCGACGGGCCGCCGTGATTTGGGTGCTTGGAGGGGTGAGCAGGCGTGGTATAGAGGCAGACGTGGGCCCTGAGATGAACTTCCGAGGAAGACGGTGCCGGTGAACATCAATGTTGAGGATATAAAACATGGGCCTCATTGGTGGCAATGGATGAGTGTTGATCATTCACAATAAATACTGTATGTGCAAAACACATGACACAATGCTATTAAGAAGTGCTGGGCCAAACATGCTTCTTTGGCTTAGCTTTAGTCTGCCCTCCCTTCTTCTTCCATCTCAGCTCATCAGGTTGGTTTCATCCACCACAGTCACAGTTGGTTCCCAGTCACCTCCGCATCAGCACCCATCTCTGGCGCCGACTTCCAGTGCCGTTGCGCCTCGCGGGTTCCAGGACGTTCACGACGGGGGTGGGGTGGAACCGCGCTTTCCCTTTCTACAAGCCTGGAGGAGCAAGCAGTTCCTCAGAAAATTTTGACCATGTTCTCCCAGATGAACCGCCCTGAACGCTGTCTGTCATCTTTATATGTCCTATAGAGCTATGGCATCTCTGATTCTATGGGTTGCTTCTTCCTGCCCCAATGTGCACAATCCGGCTCTTCACACCATCACCGTTCGGACCGTCCTTGACATGTCACGAAGCGTCCTTGACATCGTTTCGGTCACTTCTGAAGGGCTGCAAACAGAGACTCCAGTGAAGGTCACGAAACCCTTCAGGTCCTGGAACGTGTTGACGTGTTCTTTCCAAACAGAAACGCCACAGGCCGTGCTGCCTGTGGCGTGAAACAACACGACCCGGGCCTCGAAGATGGTCGCGCGCGCGGCGTAGGTGGCGCTCAGTTCGATGGCCGCGGACGTGTGCACGCCCAGCTGCAGCAAGGCCTAGGCCGACGGGCTAGCCGATGTGGAGCGAAGCCGATGGCTCCGATGGCATCGGTGTGCTATGAAAGGGCCATGAAAACCGTGGGAGTGGCAGTCTCATTGTAGATTTTGGATGATTTCGAGGGTACTTTTCTGAAGATGGGCTAAGCAATTTCTTGATGCCCCTTGGTGTACTTGCTGTGTGGAAATCGAACGATTTGCACAAGACCGGATGTATAGACGTTGCGGCGTGTTCTCGTGTGTTCTGATGCTGGTGCAGACCGGTAGTTGATGTGCGCGCTGCGTTTGGATGACAGTCCCCAGGGGTCTACGAGTCCAACCACCATCGAGCTCGTTTGAACAAGTGGATCGTTCGGGAAGGTAGGGAATGGACTGCAGGTTGTGCATGACGAAAACAGATCATGCAGCAAGCACCCTAGGTCTTGGCTGATTGCTAGAAACTGCGCTGGCACTTCACGACAAAACATGACCAACAACACAGCTGCTGGTCGTCGCTGGTCTATGCTCAAAACAGGGCTCATGGAGTTGAGCGTTGTCCCATACACAGCACATACCCACCAAAAATGATATAACAATTAAGCAAAACATCAAAACCCGTTTCACACCCAAAAATCTAGCCAAGTCCTGTGCTCCTTCTCCTCCACCCTCACAGAAAACCGCGTCCGATCATGAGGCGCGGGGCTTCCATGGTCTTGGCCACAATCTCTCCAGGCGTCCCACCTTGCGGTGCCCACCGTCTCCGGGCGATCGCGGCGAGCCTTCTCGAGCCGCTCTCTCGCTGTGACCGGCGCGTGGAGGGACGAGCTGCGTGGAGGGACGATCGGAATCTGCATCGATCGGCAAGGCCGAAAGTTCGAGAAATCTCCGATGAAGAACCAGGATGCGCAGGAACTCCTCTAAGCTGGTTCACGCATCTATCCTTTTTGGGGCTGTGGCTGTCGACACCCATCGACACCCATCAGAAGGAGTCTTGAGGAACCGAACGTGATGCCTGTTTCACTGCCGATCATTTACAATGCTCCGTGTCTTGATGCCTCTCCCACGCATCCACACGTCCCACATCTCCGGTCTGAGCATGAGGCCAATGGCACCTGGCGTCGATCCGGCGGATACGATCTGACACATCTGGGAGAAACAACGACATGCCCTAAGAATCCGTACGGGCTCTGCAAGGGAAGGGGCCGGACCCGGTTCCCAAATCCTATCTGTTGGTTCGGGCTCGGATTCGGTGATGCAGGATTTCCTGACACCAGCGATTTCAGTGACTGAACTTATGTGCAGTCAAAAGAACAGCTGGCAGTCTATATATATATAGGTTTCAATGATGTTTGAAGTTGAAATCTTACGGCTGAAGTTGTCGATGTTGTCTATCAGTTCGCCTGACAGACAGGTGAAAAATCCCCCCCGCAAGGGCACACGTTCCTCCCAAAGAGTTGGGGCGATTGACTCTCTCAATCCCACTCATCTTGTGTCTCGCCGAAAAGTTGAACCGTCTGTGGAACCCATTCTGCTGGGGCATCTCCCCTCTCCTCATCTGAGAAAAGCATCAACAATATATTCAAAAAGCTTGGACCAATGGAACACAAAACCACCACGCAGTGGTCAACGACTTGGGGAACCTCCGCAAATGTTGCAAATTTTCGTTGAGCACGCCAAAGTGGGAGACAGTCTAGGAGGCTCCTGGTTTGAGCGTCTTTCAACTTGAGAATGCCCAAAAACTCTGCTGGGCTGCAAACTGCAAGAGGCTCCCAGGACTTCTGATCGAGACAGTCTCAGTCATCACCGACTCTTCCGAACCATGCCATCTGCACTTTCCGCGGCCGCCAAGGCAGCTGTGCGTCTCGCTGCAATGGCTTGGGAGAAGATCGGAGAGAACGCGGACGTCTCGGCAGGAAGCAGCATCGACGTCACGGCCCGTGAAGGTTGAAGCGAGAAGAAGTACTCAAAAGCAAAAATGACTCAGATCTGAAGGAGTGTTTCCGGCGATCCCTCTTGGTCTAGTGGACACCACCCACAAACTGGCTGAAATTGTCCCACACAACAAAGGCCAATGGCCAAAATGTGTCTTCGTCTTCGTGAGCGAGCTCTGCTGGATTGAAAACAAGTTCAATGAGGCTCAACCCATGATCTTTCCGCAGGCTGCTTCCATGCCTGGGCCCCATGTGCTCACTCCTTTTTCTGCCCCAGACATGTGAAACATCCACCGGTCACGGCCGTTCTCATGCCTCTACTGATGGAGTGGTGGGTCCAGGACTCCGACTCCACTCCGTCCTCATTCAGAATCGGATTTCAGGTCCTGACATCCATTGCACAGCGGAGGAACCGCGTAGAACATCGGAAGAACGACGAACGCGTTCGGAGCCCGAGAACGGAACTGTTGAACTAGAGTCGGCTGCCTGACATCCATCACTCCTGTTGGTTTCTGCCTGGCCACAGGAACAAGATACCAACAGGGTGCAGTTGAAAGGGCCCAAGATCCAACGACCAAAGTTCTACTCACAATCTGGGCATGAAGGATTTTTGACACTTGTTCCATCTTTTTCCTATAGTGACTATAGTGCAACCCTATAGACATGAAAGTGTCCACGCCATCAAATCGGCAGGAAAGCTTTGTGGTTGGCCATGTGGACATACTCGGACCAACGGGAAGGGAACATGGGCAATGACTGCATCTTCTGGTCAAGTCTGGCCTGCTTCTAACCATAGCTAGTCTGGATCTTTGGACATGCTGGGTCATATTGTCATTAGTCAACACATGTTATGAGCATGCAGCAGGTAATTAATGAATCGCCTGTCATTGATTCAGTCACAGTTGTCCACTAACACAAGCCTGCAAGTCACCTGTGCATATATACAGTATGTATATTGTGTGTGTTTCCTCTTTAAAATAAACCAACCATATTAGCAGCAATTGTTTCATCTTAGTGGTTGACTTTTCAGCAGGGGCTTCGTACCTCTTAACATTTTGTTCTACACTGACTCCACAACGGACAACCGCACACTCTAGCCTCTACCTTGCCAGGGCATCCAGGTACCACTATAGCCTGTAGCTGGCACCAGTGGTTCCAAAGACTAAATTTACACACCGGACCTAAAAGTTTTCTTTATAGTGGCTGGGGTCCTCTGGCCTTGCTTTGCACTCTTCGATCGCTTCTTCGAGCGATCTGGAGTCATGTGTTCTGTTGCGATCACGATCACCGCTCCTACAACGACCTATATGCGTCTACACACGTGAGAACGCGGGAGAAAACACGCTGTATACATGGACTCACATAGATCAACTTCGCCCCTGTTGCTTCGCAACTGTGACTTGAGGACTGTCAGCAGCACCTGCTGCTTCCTTCCAGGCCGTCCTTGGCGTCAATGGCCACGTGGTTGGCGGAGCCGCCATGCAGCAACACGAACTCCCGAGAGCTCATACCAAACTTCAGGACATCCTTCTCCCGAAGCTCCACGTACCCTCAGTACTTGGAGGAAAGCGAGAAGCGAATCGATGGGATGAGAGGGAACGAGGACGGAAGACGGAGGGATCTGGAGGCACCTAATTGTCCTGCATGGGAGAAGTCCACCGTTGAAGCATGACCGGTTCACCATGGTTCACGAACTCCGGAGACCATGCTCAAGCGCGAAAAGCGCGACCTGCGAGCGCGCATGCGAGCCGAGCGGCTTGCGGCGTCAATGCGCGAGCCATTGACGAAGGTCCCATTCACACTTTCCAGATCCATAATGTAAGGCTTCACAAGTCCAGTAGAGGTCTGTCGGTAATGCAGCACGGCATGCTGCTTGCTACATGTGGGGTGGTCCGTGGGCACATCCACGATGCGCCGGTCCTTGCCGAAGAGATAGCCCACGTTCTTGTAGATGTGGATCATCCTGAGCGACGCAGCTTGCCCAAGCCACTGACAGTCAACCGGTCCCAAAGAGAACAGAAACAGGGAGCCACAAAACCAAGATAGCCACTGGTTTGTAGAGGAAAACCATCTTTCAGAGTGCCGTTCTCAGGTCCCATGTTAGTTTTCGGGAGTGTAGACACCCCGGAAACTGTGGCAATTGATGGACATTCTTGAGGCCTTGAAAGGCACCCAACTAAGACTTAGCAAGATAAAACAGTTCGACAGCTAAGCATCTTCGGTTTCTCTCCGTTCTGCTTCGAAAAGACGTACAAGCGCCATTTCGTGGCAGGCCGGCGGGCTTCGGCGGGCACAGTGAACTTCAAGGGGATTCCGTTCTTTGCGTTGTCCTCCAAGGCCAAGAGCCCTGAAGGCTCAAAATTGGGCTGCTCCTGGCAGATCAGAACATCTTCTCGACGTGTGCTCTTTGTTTAATCGCTGACTGATCATGCCGCTGCGATCGGCAGTGCAGTCTGCAGTGTTTGTTTGTGTGTTTTTATCTCGGCTTTACTCATTCGGATTTACTCATTCCTTTGGCACGCAAAGCGGCTTTGCCTCTGTGAGCTGTCATTGACACCTGACTCAGACTGGAAAGGGGAACAACAGAATTTGTGCACTGCTCCTTCGGCTGGTCATTCTCCTCCTTCCCTTTGCCTTTGCCCTTGCCTGTGCCCTTCCCAAAGCCATCCCCTTTCCTGACTTGATGTGCTTGGCGGGCACCCAAGAAGGATCAAACCACTTGTGAAGAACTACACTTGCCCAAAGCCGAAGAAGAAATCACAACATCATCCAATGAATGCGTTCGTCCTCACAATCGCTGGATCCTCTGGGTTGATCAAAGTCACTTCAGGTCCAATCTCGGGACCCCATCTACTCAAGCATGAGAATAGCCGACCTAAAGGAGATCAAAAGAGGTTCACCTAGCTGCTAGTGGCTGGTGAAGTCTTCACTGATCACCGTCCACCACTTCAGCTGAGTTTCCCAAAGCCAAAGCCATCCCCTTTGCCTTTGGGATCTCGACTTCTCGATGGTTCGAGTCGGTCGAAGCCTCCTGGGGCTGGTCTTCTTGGGACATCACTGTCCGAATCATCCTTTTTCTGAGCCTTTGGCGGAACCTTCTGATCTTTCCTCAGAGTTGCCATGAAGGTGGACCCTGAGTGTTTGGACCTCTCACAAACGGAAAACACGTTGCACTCAAATACGCGTCTGCACAATCCTAACCACATATATATATATATATATCCTTGCAGGGTTTCCAACACATTTACTTGAGCCTGGCTACAATGGAAAGATATAGAAAGCAAAAGTTTACATCGCACAACTTCGATGTTCTATGGTTGGCAACAAGGAGTCCAAAACCGACTGCTTCTGGGCAGGATTTCCAACCTGTTCACCACGGATATGCTATTAAGACGGCCCAATAGCTTCAACAACTGTAATACCAGCACATCCTCGACATCATCCCACTACAGTTCCAGCAGTCCAGCTGTTGCAGCAAGTGTCCCAGTCAGTCGTGATATACTCGTAAACCTGCTTAACAACTCTTGGCATAAACTCCAGCGGTGCTGGTCAAATCTTTGGTTGACCAGATTCTTTTTGGAGAATTAAGAGGTCTGACTGGGGTATGGTGGTTTCAAAAACCATGATACATGGCTTGGTGGTTCCAACCCAGCTAGCAAGCATCATTGGGAACAATCATCCTGGGCTTGGTCGCAGTCCCAGGCATATTGATGTGTCCCAAGCTTCTCTGATTTGGCCTCCTTCTTGGGCCTCTCTAGCTGAAGGTCGCTGCCATCCGAGTCCAAATCCTGCGGCTTCGCTTTCCTTGACACCTTCTTCTCTTCCTGCAGAGGGGTCTCTAGATCTGTTGGATGCCTGTTCCGCCCTGGACATGCATGACAAATGTGAGGTGGCATGGGGAGGCTTGCTTGCGCAAACAGCATGCAGTCAAAAACCTGTATAGAAAAAGTGTTCCTTAGGTCAGGAGATTGTACTAGTTTTCATGATCGCGCATCAACATAATCAATGACAATTGACAAGATCACAACCCCTTTTGACTCATCATGGACGCGTGTCATCTCTTCTCTCTCTATATATGCGTATGTATACGTTATATATATATATGATATAGGCAGAGTCATGGTGACTGTTGATGAATCTAAACCCTCTTTCTTGGAGATGCTTGACCAATCAGTGACTCAGGCAGGGTGGATTGATTCATCTTCATCAACAGTCAACATTACAGTGGGTCCAATTTTTTGAAGAAACTGTCTCGTTCGGGCCTTGTCCTTGGTCTTCGCTCGGGGCCTGGGGGGGCGCCAAGTCATCGCTCTCTTCCTGGCGAAGTCGTGTGAGGCCAGGGGGGTGGTCCACTTAACACGTGTTCGTATAGAGGTTAAAACGGTAAAACCCGAACTATTGCGATGGTTAACCCACCGAATTCCACACTTGTTCTGTGCCCGAGAATGAATGGGAGGCCTGTCCAAAAGCCTTCATTCATCTGCTCCTACAATGAACAATCGTGGAACCCACTACGTGATTTCAGAAGAGGGGAGGCACAGTCTTCCTGTGCAGAGGGCAACACCAGCAAATGAAAAGACCCATATGCAGTGGCGTGGCCGCAAAGCTGTAAAACTCGAAGTGCCTTGTGAACATCCCAAAATCCAAGAAGAAGAAGAAGAACAACAACAACAGTCAACTGAGTCCTTGTGAGATCACCCCCAGTTCAACTGGCCAGAAAAAAAGCCTCGTGCCCCAACGGCATGAACAGCAGCCGGAGAAAAAACAAAAAAAACAATTAACATGCCATGCATCAGCCACAACGAAACTCGAAAACGAAAGCCTCCAAAGCCAAAACAGTGTAAAGGCATCAGTATTTTTTTTGGGTCCGTTAAACGTGGGTTCCTATCAAGGTGCTGACCAACTAGGCCACCCGCAGAACCTGTGGAACACACCTGTGGAACCTTGCTAGCTACACATAGCTATAGCTACATCGCCATGCGTGGCGTGGTGGTTTCCACACCTCGTGATCGAACCACCGTGTGGAGCCGCCCGCGCTTCCCGACACCCGACGTCGTTCGGTGGGGTCCTTGGGCCGCTTCTTCGGCTTTCGCTGGACGTTCAGGTCGCTGTCCGAGCCCGCGCCCGCGCCCGGCGAGGAGCCCGCGCCCCGCGCTGCGGCCGCTTTCGGCCGCTCCTGGCGAGAGAGATGGGGTGGAGGGGTTCGGAACATGAGAGGACTGAAATGGGGTGGAACAGACAGGATGGAATCATGATCATTTAAAAACAAACAATCCCCCTGGCAATTCGACCTGGAACCCGGACTCTTTGATTGTTTAGGAACCCAGGGTTCAGGGCACGCAGGGGTAACTAAAAAATCAGAAAGCTGGAGAATCAATGAGAAACGTGTCTATTAAATAATAGACACTGAATGACACTGACCTTCAAAAATCCCAAAAGTCTAAAGAATCACAATCATCTTTGCATATGCATGAAATGGCCTCTGCTTCTCTGTGTTGAGCCATTTCAACATAGATTTTGTCTTCAAAGAATCAGGGTCCACCTGTCCACCTATCAAGAATTCCAACCCCCAGGTTCCTGGTGGTTCATTGCACCCTGTTTCTCTTACTGATGTCATTCTTTACGACAACCCGGGTTGTCCTATGGTTTGGAGGAAATTTGCACAGGGATTAATAACATGTAATTTTCTTGAACTTAAAATCATTTAAATGACTGCTTGCGCGAATTCTTGTGCCCAGGTCCTCCTTCCTCTTCTTGACCTTGGTCTCTTCCTTCTTCTGCACTTCTTTCACCGGAGCAGCCTGCGCCGGTTTGTTGCTGATCACCGAGTCGAATTCGTTCAGGCTGCCTGTCTAGCCTGTATCGTCTAGCCCTCCCCGCATGGATGAAAGAGTTGTTCTAGATCACCATACATGCCCGGTGCATCGGGTATTTACAGTACATGTTTTGCAATGACACGATTGAAATCCTGCGTTCGGGGCTAAGCGGCTGGTTCCAAGTATTCTGATTATTCTGGTCTTTACACATGACTTGAAGGTGGACGAGGAAGTGGTTTCTGAAGACTCATTTGCAATAGTTCCACATCTCCCTTGTCCTGCCGGCTGCACTCTATCACAATTATACCAAGTCAGGTTTGAAAGCAACGGCACTCAACACGAAGGACGTTCCGATGGTTTCGGGGGATGGTTCCTCAATACTCGCAATCAGCAGCCTCTTTAAAGCTCAAGGTTCCCCGCAACACCCCCCTGACATGCTCTGGAGCGCGCTTTCCGTCATCCCAGCCTCTGGCTTCTTCGACCCCTTGTTGGGTCTCTCAAGATCCAGGTCCTGAAGAAGCAATGAAAAGTAGCCAAAGTGTGGACTGGGATCCTGGTTGAGGCCAGTCAATGGCCACCAAGCTACCACTGTTCCTGAAGACATGGCACAGCCATGTGCACTTGCAAAGTCTCCAAACCGCAGGTTCTGGTTTTCCGGTGATGTACATCATCGAATATCAAAAAAACACTCCTGCGAAGAAACATGACATGGCAACCACATCGTTGGGAAGATAAACCTGTTGCGCTGCAGACCCCTCTCCGCTCTGCTGCGGTTTGTTTTCTGCTGCAGCAGGTTGTTTCTGCCTGCCCGTTGCAGGAAACAGCAACGAAAACCACACCGGACCTGCAACAGCGGCCCAACACATGAACCGCACCCCCCCGACAAACCAAACCCAAGACCCATAATTGAACCCCAAGCCAGCCGACGTTTCGCATCTTTTCACCAAACAATGTGCACAGTATGCGCACAAAACAACTAATAGATTGTAATAGATCGTGTTAGAACATCGTCATTTTCAATCCGTTAGCATCCGTACTCATCAGTCACCATCTGAATCTCCGCCCATGGCTACTCATCAGTCCGTCTCAGGGCCAAGAGTCGCTATCCGAATCTCCGCCCATGCCGAAAGCCCATGGCACTTGGGAAGCGATCTCAGTCGTCTTGAGCCCCCCCGCTACTAACTCGTCTCGTCGATTCTCGCTCGGTCTCACTCGGAGCAAGGAAGGTTCTTAACACCCAGAGCACTACCCAAAGCCTATCATGTGATTTCGATCTCCAGGGTGGAGAACTCTGCTGCTCAAAGTGAAGCATTGACATATTATAAATATAAACCATATATATATATATTTTTTTTCCAATTATTATTGAATTGGATCCCCCCATGACTCTAGCCTTTGCTCAGGTCTAGTTGGGTCCCAGGCCACTCTTCCAACAGAGATTACTGGTTCGCAATGACCACGACCAGTCACTCAGCCGCGCACCAAAACAACTCACATGCGTTCTGCCTGCGACCTGCGTAGGGCATGCAGCTGCGCCAGGGCTTGTGCAGCTCGGGCAGCACCTCGGGTAGCTCGGTCCAGTGTGGCCGCCAGCGCTCCCGAGATGGACAGGTTGCAGCCGGTCCAGAGGCCCAGATCGAAGCAAATTGAGCCAATGCCAATACAAACCAAAATGCTAGCTATGTCAGAATGGCTTCTTGGCTTTATCAGCATCTTGTGGAACATGTTCCCCAAGTTTTGAAGCAATGCAATCTAGGATGATCTATCTACAAGTATCTACAAGTTCCCACGCATCAAAAATCGATCTTCCGCACAGCCGTTTGTGGCTGAGAGAGTTGCTGCGGTGAAAGTCGATCTTCACTGCAGGATGAAGCCATTCCTAGGCACAACACGGCGCGACCAAACATGCCCAACACTTCAAGTAAACAACCGAAGGTGGGCCTGCAGTTCCGGTGAGTCTAGACATGTCGACAGACCGGATCCTCGCGCGCATGACATGTGCCAGTGCGCTCCTCGATCTGCTCTTCGAAATCGCCGCCGGCACCATCCTGGGTGGATCGTGCACCCCACATCAACACGAAGTAACAAGGATGCTGCTAGTAGCTCCTGGCATTACTGCTAGGTACTAGTAACAAGAAGCTACTAGGAACAAAGGGCATCGCTACTAGTTGCTATAGTAACAAGAAGCTGCTAGCTGCGGCCTTGCTCCATGGAAGCGATGCCCTTGTTACTACTGCGGAATGTGGATCATGTTGCCTGAGGCACTCAGCAAAATCAGCTTGGGCCGCTGAGCCCTTTCGAGCCGAACACCAAACCAAGGTGACACGACCTGCTCCAGTGCAATGTAGGCAAGCAGAAACCAAAGAAACACCTGTATGCATCCATGTCTTGGAAAACCTCCATCTTCATGGGGTAATTGGGCATAGTGGCATAGGGGCTCCCAAATATTGAACAATTTAGTCCGAACCGTGAATCCCAAATTGAATACGTCTTAAGATTCTAAACCGGCTTGTGTGAAGGTCTCCAGCCACAAAGGTGTTTTCTGTCTCTTCACCCTTTCTCCTGTCCGCCTGCCAGCGGGACAGCTGCTCGGGCTGGGGTGTCCCGGCCATGACGCCATCTTCCTCAGGAAGTCATGCGTGTGGCTGGGCGAATGTTTGGATCGTTGACATAGCAAGTGTGCCACTGAGGCCAAGCAAAACTTTTTGTAGCATCAGCTCAAACCACGATATGTAAAAAAAACAAATGGCACAGGATTCCATTATATTATGTTACTGTCCAGCCTGCTCCTCCCTCACCTTTTTCTGGAGAATGTGCTGGCCGCTGTAGTCACTAAGAGGGCATGAAACATCTCCAAGGTAGAACAGGGGGAGGGAGGATGGCTTCTAGAATCTTCTAGATCTAACCGTTCAACAGCACCCTCCTAGAGATAGAAGCTACTAGTCTTGTTACTAACGACTCTCAGACAGAAGGGAAACAAATCAAGTGAACAGCATTTCCTATGTTTGACCCGTTACTTGACCAATGCGCATCAATGTGCAATGGCTGTCGTTCGGAACACTTCCCCATGCAGACTGAGATTCTGTCCTTCCTCGGTACCCTCTTCCGCGAAACACGCGCCGCATGTCCAACATTTCTCACAAAGGCCAGAAGTAACATGCAGCAAGAGAGAAGGACTGGGTGGCTAGGGTGGGACCAGGTCTTTAAACTCCCTTGAGCCAAGTGGACCCCCTATCAAGATAGGGTTGGGGGTCGGGGCCATGACTGCCATGTGGTCGAGTTTGCAAGACGCTGCATTGTGGGGCGGTTTGGAGGCAGGCCTAGTGCGTTGCGTGACGAGACAGTTGGGTGACGTTGGGTTGACCTCATTGCAGATCATGGCGGTGATTCCTACAAAAGTGTTTGAACAATCTCTTTCAACAGCCAGGAGGGGAACAACGGGACTGACCGAAACGGAAAAGGCCCAGTACAGATTGGTCATGAGTGCCATCAGGGTCAAGTTTGGGTGTATAAGGTGCAGGACAGAGTTTTGGGCACAGGAGAAATGAAAGCGGGATTCATTCCATGCTTCACACCCGGCATTGTCAGCATTCATTCCATGCTTCGCCGTGGAACCCGGCGATCTGAGCCAGTGCGTCAAGAGTTCGAGAAGCCTGCCATGTTGTATGCTCTCAACTCAGCCAAGGCCATGCCAGCCCGACCAGGGCCAAACCCGAATCCGGCGGGAGATGATAAAGGGTTGGATGAAGCCCAAGAGGAAGGCATCAGGTGGCCATGACCCTCAGCAGAAAGAGGGCAGGTTCTTCAAGAGCAAGGCTGGCGTGAATGTATGCTACGCTTGGTCCAGGGCAGCAGATGGGTGCAGCAATGACAGTCGTGACAAAGGATTGGCACACGTTTGTGAATGGTGCCGCCAACCGCACAAGAGGTCCTCATAGCCCAGGTCGGACCGAAGACAAGGGCAAGAAGAACAAGGGCAAGAGCAAAGGCCAAGGCAAGGGCGGTGGCGGGCCGCTGAAGAAGCCGCGGCACATGTGACAGGCGAGCCCATCGGTGACTCCCCATCGTTGATCCAATGGAGAGAGTCGCTGAAGAGAACGGCGAGTCAACGGGAGGCCGAGGGCAAAGCATGAGAAAAGCTCAGCCTCCTAAGGAGTGCTTGGGAGCAATGCAAGTGGTTGAGACTGACAGCAAATTCATGGAGCTCTTTGCAGGTGAAGCGGGGTTGACACATGCAGTGCAGCGTGAAGGATGGGAAGTGTTTGACCTAGTGAGGTGCATGTGAGCGGCCGAATTGTTGGTGGGATAAATTTGTTGTGCAACAAGACCTTATCAGACCTCAAGAAGAGGATCAAGAACAGGCAAGTCAGATGGCTTCATTCAGCTCCGCCCTGCAAAACATTTTTCAACGGCGAGAGCTGAGTGGCGGGAGCCCGGCGAGAGCTTGCAAAAGGGCTGGAGACAAAGCCTCTTATGGCGGTCAAGCCACTGCAGTGATTCACTGGGGAGATGTCATGGGCCTCGGGTTTCATCCCTCAGTTGAAACCTTTCGAGCCAATGTTGCACGCAGCATTACGCAGCGTTAGCTTCAAGACCCCGGCAGCTGGAAGGAACTCCAGCTGTTTACTTCAAACAGATTGAGCCTGCGTTGAGGTGGGTACCAAAGGTTTTTGTGGAGCATTGGGCCCCCAAGGCCTGGAGGGAACAGTGCGTGCTCATGCAAGACACAACATGTGTTGCCTTGACATGTTCATGTTGGTTGATGCCTCACCATTGGGAGTGGGCAGTGCGGCTGGTAGAAGGTCAGCCGGTCGAGATCGTCGACATGGACTGCATCAGATGAAAACAAGCTTTGTTCTCCTGCTTCTCGGGCCTTATGGGAGGCCTACATGATGTTGCGTTGCTTGTGGTCAGAGGGTGTCTGCGCAAAGGATGCGCTGTCAGCGCTTGTTCGACGAGCAGCATGACCCTTGTTAAACAAGGTGACACCAAAGGTGGCCTTGCATCTGGCACCTCACCATGCCTCGATGGAGGCGATGCACGACCACCCGAGCTACCTCACGTGCATGAAGAGTGAGCAAAAGATGGGTGAGGGGAGTGGCAGATCACTCTACACTCGGGGGGGTGGGAGTTATGAGGGGGAAGTGTTGAGCCGGCCGCCAGAGCGAGCAAGCCCAATGGCCATGTGGATAGGGCACAAGTGGAAATGCTGGTAATGCCAAAGTAAAAAAGTAGCACTTATGACATAACCACATTGCCGGAAATGAGTGATCAAATCATGATTGGCCGGCACCTCGGTTCATGATTCGATTTCGCCGTCCGACCGATTGCGCACGTGCATGACCGTAGCCATTTGCACGACCGAAGTATGAAACAGATTGCGCAGGATTGGAAACTGGAGGCACAGTTGCACGATGGCCGGGGCTACACGTCAGTCCAAAGATGTCACCCCCGGAATCGTTCGACGCGGGTGGAGGGAGTGCAGCTCCACTCTTGACCATGTTTTCTTGTCAGGAACGCACTAAGCAAAATCGCTACTGCACAGGCCAGAAGTTACCAACATTGTGATGCCGGGCCTCATTGTCCAGGCTGTCAGGATCTCCATGTATGCCCTCCCTCGCCCTCCCAGAAGGGGTGGAGAAGCGAGGCATGGGATAGGGATGGGAGGCCATGGGAGAAGGTCCCCAAGGGTGGCGAATCAATGGTGGCGAACCCTCCAAGCCAGAAGAAATCACACCCAAAGTGTACCCTTCGGAGGCACTTCATCCGCTTCTCACAAAGGGTCCCTGAAGTGAAGAAAGAAGAGTTTGGATCCGATAGTGATAGTGGGCTGGAGAAGAAAACACCGGCCACTCCAGTCTGTAAGATGGAACCTGTGGTAAAGAGCTATGCCACGGGGTCAGCAGCAAGGGTGAAGGAGGCCGAAGAAGACCCTGAAGCATTGAGAAAGACCTTGGAAGAGTTCCAAAACGACCAGTTCGCGGCCTTAGATTTCAAGCATCCACGGCGGCATCCACTCCTCAAGCTGGTGGGAACAGAGAGCAAAAGAGCTTGCATATTGAGCTCTATCCAACCAGCAAATCCATTGACCCTTGCAGGAGCGCTTCGTCGTTCGGGCAGGGCAGGAGCGCAGGCCTCGCGCTTCTGCAGCTCAGGAGTGTTTCTCTCAGCCTTCGAAGAGGGA